AGCGCTGCACTGCCCTTGAAACGGGCCGATCACCTCGCGCACACTGCTGCGCACACTCACACGCTGATATGTTAGAACGCACACATGCACCTTATCGCGATGCAGCGCAGAATAGACGCACCGATAATTTTAATTTCCATTTCATTCGCGAATGTCACATTGACGGTATCTCTGTTTGCAGTAGTTATCTTATAAAAACAGGCGCTCTACTGTCCGGAGTGTGTGACGCAATTAAGGAGGATACGCTATCAATTAATTTTCTCTTATAATTTGACACAGACTTAAAATTATATATATGAAAAATACTTTGTGCATTTATAACAAGCTAATGTATTTATCGTATGATTGATTATAATAAACCAATGCACTGCGTTTTGTACAAACGGATGCGGATAGACATCCGCGCGTACGCACGCCACTACCCATAGCCACGGATCTGGTGGTCACGACTCGCGAGCTATGCGGTTTGATTGTGCCGACCAAACATATTTCATTTTACACTTTTACTGGTCGTAATCTATATTCTATTTGCACTAAAGCGTATTTTGTAATACTTCTAGGTTTCCGTTGGAACTGCCCGCATCATCTAATGCATTTCAAAAATCAACTCACAAGGTTCTTGCTTTGTGTCCGCACGCACACAGTTGTGTACTATCTGTATTCACAATTTGGCAATTGGCAACATCCAGCCAAGGCCCACTGTTAATTAAAGATAAGATTTGAGTAACATTCCAAGAATCTTGATATTCATTTTTTATTTAGTGATTGTGGCATTTTTAATATCCGATATGTGTCTGCGATTATGGTTTTGTTTAGTCTATCTCGTAGATGCTAAAAGTCATTCACAATATAGTTACATCAACACATTTGCTGTTTTGTGCGATATTTGTGTTTTGCTAAATATAAAAATTGGCTTCATTATATTTGAACGGCTTTATCGTTGTCATATTGAAGTGCCTATATTTTTGTCGCGCTGTTTATTTCGTGTACTTACACGCTGTACATTTATCTAGGTTGATTTGTAACGATGAAGTAGACAAATGGTAGCTAGAATACATGTCGAGGTACTCTATAGCCATACAATCAGGTTTTGACTGCCCAATCCGAATAGGAAGGTCGTGTGCGTTTCGCCAGCGGCTGACAATGGCGCGGTGCCGGTACCAGCGCTGTTGCCCAATAACACGTTTGCAACACCGAAATTTCGTGTGTGCCGTTACACCAACGGGCGATTTAATGCCTCCTCGTGTTTCAGACATGCATCAACAGTGCTGGCACTAAAAAACAATTCATGTTGATAAGCCCGTACGTTTGTGGTTTCGGATCTGCGCCTTTGTTTACTACGAGCATAGTTATTGAGGGATTCTGACGCAATAAATTAGTTCATTTAACGGTGGCGGTTCTCTTATTAATGAATGGCTATGGTTTTAGCTTCAATTACAGCCAATTAGATTGTTAGATGCTTTGAGGTTGTAATTTAGATGGTTTTTAAATGAGCATCAGCATTATGTAGAGTTTTATTCATTACTTGCTAATCATTCACATAATCACATTTGGAATGAAAATGCAGAAACGCAGCATGCGTTTATTCAGATTTTGGATTGACATCACAATTATATGTACTTTTATAACTTATATTCCAAACCTTATAATATGCAAGTACGCATTCAAATTGGCAACCATCAGAATGTTCTAGTAGGCTGGAAAACAAAGAGACGTCAAAGAATTTACCAAGTACCAGTGGAACATTATAATGCAACACAATCGAAAGTGGTCGCTTCGCATGCGTCGGCAATCGCCGGCGACGCGTCGTGCATGCATGTACGTATAGTTGGTCGGCTCGATTTTTTGCATCTTTATATTAGGAGCACTGACCTTGCGCAATGTCAAATAGCTGAGGACGGACGGCGGCCGGAGAGCCAACTTGGCGATAAGTGGCCGATGCATCCATTCCAACTGGTTCCGTTTGTCCGTCGGTCGCATCTTTCGTTTTAGTGCCACGGGAACCGCTTCGCTCGTTGTGTCTAGCAATGAACTCCCCATTTTATGTATCGATAAATATATATCTTGTATAGCTTTACCTTCGATGTATTTTTATCATAAATAATAATGTATCTATACTGCTTCCTCAGGAATATTTATTTGATATTTGTTTATGTAGGTTTTTTTTTATGAAACAAAAAATGGCAAACAAGCTTACGGCCAACTTGATAGAAAGTCATAATTGTTAAGTATAGGTTTTTTTTTTTTAAATATTCCTTTGTTATTAATATATGTATGTAAATGTGAGTTTGTTTATGTAGTATTTATTTGTAATTTCTTAACAGGTCAATACTCAACTAAATTCGAAATTCTCAAGGGAATTAAGCATCTACATAGTATGTATTTGGCACGGAAAAGATTACAGGTTACTTTTTACGCCATTTTCCATTATGTTACGATACGTTATCTTATTTATGCGAAATCACGGGCAGAGTCTGTGAAACGAATAATTTCAATAATGAAACAATATGAATACTAGATATGCACGTACCTGACATAAAATATGGATGGTGCATACAAACAATTTACAATTTGAAAGGATTATAATTTTAAAATTATGACAGGCCGTCAGTTTGGGTCTGGTACCAATAAATATTGTTTACGTTTTGTCAGAATACTAATATGTTAGGTAGGTATTACGTGCGGTTTGTTTTCCGCAAAAATAACCATCCGTGAGAAATTGGTGTTTACAATGTTTTGTATTTATAAGAATCAACGGTCTAGACGTCTTTATGCATAAAGAAATAATACGTAATTAATACAGGAAGTTAAATAATTTAAAAAATTATTTACGCATTTTCTAGACTATCCGTTGGGCTAATTTAAATATATATATATATATATATATATATATATATATATATATATATATATATATATATATATATATATATATATATATATATTTATTTATTTATTTGAATAATAAACAGATTTTATATAGTTATTTATTTATTATCATCTGATATATATAATATACCAGATGCAGTGAAATAAACAAATTATGTTATTTAAAGCTATAAACGTGTGGAATCCGCGAACAAGGAACGTAGCGTTTTTATTTCAAACAAATTGTAACATATGCAGACTTGATATATTACCGATTTATTAGTTCATTTTAAATTTAAGAAAAGGTGAATTGGCGGCTTGCCAGGGTGCAGAAACAGCCCCGGAAGTGGCTCCAGTGGTGTAGGATTGCATTTTAGATGACATCCAAATTGCGACTGTTTATCTTATGAAATGTCAGCGTTAATATATCTACTTATTTAGTGATTTATCGTTTGGAATGTGAAGTATAGATACATAGATTATTACCGTAGTTTTGCGGGTTGCATTTTAATGATCGTCCATTGCTGGTTGTAATACATTGTAACGAATTTACACGCTCGTAATACCGAGATATCGCAAGCATTCCTGCGATTCTGGTCCTATTTATATAACGTCATATGTCAAAGGTGCAGTTCCATCACTGTTTCTTTGGAATGCATACTGGTAATACAAAAGAATAATTAAAAAAAAAAAAGGTTTTTTTATAATCTTGCAAATTAAAGAAGAAAGCAGAGAACAGAAGGGGATTTCTATAGGAAATTATTGCAGTAAATTTAAATAGCTAAAACTTATGTGAAGCAATCATCTATTGAATCTAAAAAACTATACCTATGTCAAATGTCTCAAGAGATTGTTATGCCATATTATTGTTTATTTCTTAATTAGCACGCTGTGTTTCCTTTAAAATGATTGTACACTAAGTATAAATAGACAGTAATTTTAATATTAAATCTTATCAGTGTAACAATTGCTAGGAGACCAAATAAAGATAAAATAAAAAATAAATAAAAAGCAGAAGACGCGATTGAAAATTTTACGAATGGAATACTGAATCTTGATCGAACAAAGAATATTTGATTCGAAATTTAAAATCTAATATACAGGAATTAGCAATATGACAATACATTAATGTCATTAATCAATTAATTACTTTAACAATCTTCATATGGGTGGGGGAAAAGTGAGAAGACGGCCCGTTCGCGTTTTCCCGAATTCCCTGCGCGTACGCACGTAAGGTGACCTTCCGGGTACGGTTACCAGAGGGAGACTTTGTACAAAAGTCGATTGCTTGGGTACCTCTGTCCCATTCGTGTTTCAACCGTGAAGCAGTTGTGTTTGCATAACTGTGTTTCGGTTTGAAGGATGGGATATGGCGTGAATTTACTGGGTACAGAGGAATAACACCTGAGTCCTCAGGAATGGCAACGCATGGGGGGTATCATGGGCGAAACAGTATACTCTATTATGTCCATGGTACTGCTCATGTCTATAGGCGACGGTTACTACTTTCCATCAGGTGGGCCGTCAGCTTGTTTGCCATTCTAAGTAGTATAAAAAAAAAAAAAAAAAACGTTCACCGGGTCACCTACAACGCAACCGCCTCAAACAATACCGTGCTATTCTATTTTTAATGTTTCGTCTGTTTTATGTTTAATTTTTCTTCACTTATGCAAGTGTGTCGAATACTTTTTGCCATACAATAAAAATATTATGAATAGCCATTGGTTATATATCGCATTGTTGGAAGTATGTAGTATAACTCTATGTAGTATGACTCGCATTATTTTTGCTATTGGCCAGACTGATCCTAGAAAAACTAGAAGAAACCTACATGTACCTTGTTGTCAATTTCATAAGTGCCGACCCAGTTGTTAAGGCATTATAAGGTAATGGATTCATAGGTTATCGAACTTCCACCATTCTTTCATACGCTACTATTATTGAGTAATAATAATATATCATTAAGTAGTACAAATACATTCCATTCTTCAGAGCAAAATAAATCTTCGCAATCATGACTTCTTGGTGGGAGAAACACGAGTGAGATAAAATATTCATGCGGTAGACTGCACATTTCTCTTCTCTCTCGTCTTCTCAGTAAAAAAAAGGAGTATAAAAAGGCTAGTACTCACCAGGTGGCCTCGGATGTGCGGCGACATGGTGTTGTAGCGTGTTTGCTATCTGGTGGTGCTGGTAGAAGGGCAGGAAGGGCGTGTGGAAGGGCGCCGGCGGCGGGGGCTGCAACCGCGCCTTCAGCTCCTCGGCGGAGCCCGCGCCTGATGACGACGACTCCACGTCGGACACGCCGCTGTCCGCCGGCGACGGGGGGAGGGAACCTGGTCGGAACATAAGAAATATTACATAATTACTGCGCGAAATTTAGAAAAAAATTTTTTTTTTCTTAATTAAAAACTACTTTAGTAGTTAAATCGATTGACCGATGATAATTTACTATTATATTAAGATTTTTGACAGCATTAAAACACGCAGTTAGTGGTTAACCTGTGATATTTTCCTGATGACGAAATATAGGTGAAATTTATCTTTTTTTTTTTATGGTTAGAATTGTCTAAATAAGAAAATTTCATTCAATAAATCTCCTTGTTTTTTATGTTTATTGATAAACATTTATGTTGATAATAAGTAAATAATTAGGTATTCAAAATAATGTTTAATTTCTATGTTTGAGCTTTTAAATAAAAACATGTGGATGTAGTACAAATGTTCTCACGTAAATTGTGTATATATATGTATATGTATATGTATATGTATATGTATATGTATATGTATATGTATATGTATATGTATATGTATATGTATATGTATATGTATATGTATATGTATATGTATATGTATATATATACAATTTTACATTTATATATTTTTTAATATTTTCAGCAAACCGTTAAACACGTTTTCACAATGGGACAGTATCTATTATAACTCTAACGGCTACTTGCATAATATATTCGCGTGCAACCCTGCAGATGCAGTGATGAATCCTCTACGGGTCTTTAAGACCCAACGGTCAGTCTGGACAATAGGTACGGTGAGATTAACCGTTAGAAACAGCAAATTCTGTAATGCACTTGCGTTCAACCTGTTTTCACATGTGGGAATATGCATGGCATGGTCACTATGCGATTGTTATGCAAAAGTTACATTGCATGGTGTTATCTTAATTTATGATTATGCAGATTGTTGTTTTCAGGTGGGTAGCGGTGGGTAGGGGTTGCATTTTTTTGCATTTTAATGCGATGTTTTCGGTTTGTTGAATGAACATGTATCTATTTAATTCAAACGACGAGTATTATATTGCTGGCATTAGTAAATCGTGTTTCGTGTTTGACACAAATGATGTAAAGAAAACCAAAATATGTCATGTAGAACGCGGACTCGAAACTGTACAACTTTCTCATGTCCGGCCCTTGCAATAAAAAAGTTTGACGAGTAACGGTTATACGATATTTAAATAATATAATCAACATGAGCCATACAACTAGGAGGCGAGAAAGAAAGCTGTTTATTCATACATTTCCTCGTCCATTGAAACTATGACTGGTATTAAAATGACCATTTGACCGGTGTGAGCCATAATGCGCTGTCCACACCCCTTTGTGGCCATTGTTAACCCTTCAGTGTCATACAATGAGTATGGGAACCGGGAAGCGCTGCCGGTCAGTTTGACCATTTAAATAGAGAATGGTATAGCGTTACGTGTTTGGATATTAAAAAAGGCAAACTAGATTAAAGGGCGCAATCTTCGTCGGCGAGCACGCAGAGCCGTTATTAAATATTTCTGTTTTAATATTATAAAGCATCTAATTTAGTAAAGTTTTTTTTTTATTACATTTTTAGTGTCGAAAATATGTTGTCCTAGAGCTTATTAACGCGAGATTTCTTTGCATATTAATGTTCCCAAGCTGGCGATGTCACAAAAGTTTGTCACCCCAGCGGCGGGCCGGCAGCGGCGCGCTACTTCGGCCGCGACTGACCAACGGGTACGAACACGGAATTCAGCCCTATTGTATCAATCCTTTCATCTCGCGTATCAAAATAATAATAAATTAACTGTAAATAATGACCGCTACGGGTTCCTGTGACACGAGGGTCCCAAATCAGGTCTACCGGTCGACGAGGAATGCGGTCCCATTAGTAAAATATCACAATGTGGAACAAAGGTGAGACGGACCCTTCCTTAATCGGACCATCTTTATGGAGTGACCACTGTCCATCCGCTTTGTGTGCCGGTCGGCGTTAGACCATAATCCTTGCGAATGAAGAGTTAGATTTTTGCGACTGTTTGCATATGAATGCGGTGACGATTATGCGCAGGTAAATGTTATGTAAACGGTCTTGTCAAACGACCATAAAATGATATCCTTCACGACTGATGTTACACGTGCAAAGAGTTTCACCTCTAACTTCTTTATTTTAATTATATTACTCCTCTCCATACAAAGGTTGTCTGGAAGAGATCGCTATTAGCGGTAAGGTCGCCCATTGTTTTCTCATTGTGATTATTTCTTGTAATTGTTTATATTTATAATAAGTTTACTATTGTAATCTTTTGGAGGAAACAATAAAGAGTATCTATCTGTCTATATTTAATTGTAGCTTATATACGTATATATAAAATTCCCTAAAACTAAAACCTAAAATGCAAAATTCCCTTATGGGGGATGCTTATGTTCAGCAGTGGATAGTTGAAGGCTGATATGATGATGCAGACGAAAGATTTTGATAAATTCGTACCTCTTCTGAAATGATCTAGATTAAACAATTACTAGAAATAACAACATGAAATTTCGTAAAGATTAACGGATTTAATGATCATTTGGTATAGAGATGTACCATATTGTAAATTAATATAGGATTTTTTATCCTTATTTACTCCGACAAAGTTGAGGGTCAGATATTTGAAAATAATTTTTCTGTCACTATTTCTAAATATATGCATCTTATCCACGTAAAAAGTTTTACAGGCGAGTAGGTATTATCCAAATTTTATTATTTAATTCAAGTAGATACACCATTCAAATCGTTCGTGCTTTAGAAGATAAAAAAACACGGGATCTCACAGCATCTTTTGATGTCCCCTTTACTTTGGCCCCTTTTGTTACTAGCTCCTTTAAGATGTTAATTCTGCTTACGATTGTATGTAATTTAGATGCGCTGCTGATGGCCAGTATTTAGAATATGACTTAGGTATATAGAGTGCGGTTTTGGATCGCCATTGTTAAGACATTTCGGGTGTGAGACGTCAATAGTGGCAAGAATAGAATCCAGAGGCTAATATATAAGCTGCCATAATTACCCTTCATATTTACTGATTGCAAATCGAATACAATACTCGGACCCAACAATGGGTTGCATTTATGCACCCACGCGTGACATTCTAATTTCAAAGTGTCAATAGCTCCGGAAAGCCGCCTGGGCGAGTTCAAAAGATGAAAGGGATGCAGCTATAGACGGGAGGGAGATATAGCTATCAGATTAGCGTCTATTGTGATGTATGACGCAGCGATTTCGCAGTGCAAGGTGCAATAACCCATTTTTGCATAGAAACAGGGTTTTTGGGTGAAATGTGCGATGGCGCAATGTGTGCAACCATCTGCGTTCGTCAATTGTTTGCTTAGGATGTTGCATGTTTATTTGTTAGCAGAGGGTCGCACTGACCTGCTGTACGATTTTAAGGGTTAAACTTGTAAAGGATTTTGCCGACGATTTTAGTCGGTTTTGAATATTGGATTTCAATGGTTCTATGTTATCTATGCAATATAAATTCGCTTTATAATAATGAAACTCTACTACTTAGTTTTTTCCAATTTTCGTTCTTATTTAGTTTAGTTTTTTTCCTTGCTTGTAAGACATGCCTTTTTTTTAATTCTGTAGGCATCATAACTACTTGATATTTTACAAATTTCTGCAATATGATTATACTGAAACTTACATACAGGTAAAAATTGATATTACTTTTATCCCGAGAAATGAAACAGTATCATGTACAAGAACAGTCGTTTCAAAAAATTTAAAAGTTGAGGTGAAATGAATAACTTCGCCTCTTTCGAAGATTTTCTTTTAACCCGTACTACTATTGTGGCCACGAAGACCTTTACAGCTTCACTGGAGTCTTAAAATGCTGTTTGTCCTGTGTTATACACGAATTTTTTTATACCACTGAGGTGGCAAACAAGCATACGGCCCACCTGATGGTAAGCGGTTACCGTAGTCCATGATCATCCATAACACCAGCGGCATTGCAGGTGTGCTGCCGGCCTTTTAAAAAGGAATATACTCTTTTCTTGAAGGTTATGTTGTCGTATCGGTTCGGAAATACTGCTGCTGGAAGTTGATTCTAAAGAACGGTTGTGCGTGGAAGAAAGTGCCTTGAAAAACGCACACATATATAGCTGAATGACCTGAGGACATTGTGTTTGTATCACGTGTCGCTCTATTTCAAAGGCTTATAATAATTTTATATTAAACATTGGGATTTCATTGTTAATACACCACGGGCGCCAGTCCGCACTGTGTTCACGTGTAGGTACAGGCTGCACAAAAGAAATCCTCTAATAAGACTGCGGTAACTTCAAAGTAAACATTACACGTCAAAATGACGTAACGTGTCAAATGTGTTTACTGACTGTGTGCAATATTAAATTGAAACCCCTTTTTGTTATTATTATTATTTTTACCAAACACTGGCGACGTATCGTATTGTCAGGTTTAACATAATCCACCCACATGCTGTAAAATTAATAGTATTTATAATGAAATTGCACATTTTGGGTCAGCACGACCCGCGCCACTCGAGCGGACATCTGCGTAAACTTAGCACAGAAGGGTTAGATGAGAGTGAAAGCCGAGGGGTGGCCAGTATGAAAAAATATAAATACGTTGCCATATATATACGTATTGTGCTATTTATCGTTTATATATATTTATGCCGTGTGGTCCCGGCATAGAATAGGCCATCCCTTCCTTTCCCGTGAGTGTCGTAAGAGCCGACTAAGGGAGAGCGAGGGTTGGGCAGCAGCGTCCCTCTTAAACTATGTCCAAAGCCTAACTGCGGTTGCCAATCCGCCTGCCAAGCGTGACAACTACTGGAAAAGTTAAAGGCTGATACAATGATGGTGATGATATATTTATCAACTATTAAATATATATTATATATATTTATGTTAATACAATGAATATTTATGAACATTGAATTTAATGAATACCAATTACCTAATCAGAGGGAGACTGTACAAAAGTCATTTGCATGGGCACCTCTGCACCATTCGTGTTTCTATCTTGAAGCAGTTGTGTCTGTATGGCTGTGTTCTGGTTT